CGAGTAAGGAACCTTTCAAGAACCTCTTATTGTAATAGTTCTCACGATCTGTCGAACATATAGCAATGCGAATCCCTCTTTTTTCTAGCAATCTGTTCCATAAAAAGCAGAAGAAAATTTAAGGAATAGGTCCCCAGTGCTCATGATTCTTCTTTAGCAGTTTCTATAGAATCGATTCGTTCTGATGAGATACGCATTATGAAAGCATTATTGAACATTCATTGAGGAAAAATTTCAAGAAAAATCAGTGAACAATGATCTGCCAGCCGTTTCTCAATACTCTTCTGAAACCATCAAATTCTCCGAGAGGAAAATGTTTTCGCCTTCCTATAAGATCCACTCTGTCTTAATGACTTCATTGAGACATTCACTCATTCCCATCAGTCAATTATTATTAATGTTATAAGCAAATCTTTTCAATAAGACATAAATGGCTTCAAACGGAGAATGTTTTTCCATTTAAGTGAAGGTTGAATATTGTTTTGACGATTTATCACTTAATATTTGTTTCTTTTTGGGAAGAAGCGCAATCGTTGTTAATATCCCCATTGTGAGCTCTAGGCAGTTGTTTCGTTCGAACGAACATGTAATTTGTAAAGTGCTGAATGACATCAATTATGATCAATGCATCTGTTGATTTAAGAGGTCATTCTATTCGCACACTAAAAGTTTCGTTCTTTTCACTTATCCATTTGTTCACATCGTCTTACGTATTTACTTCCTGCTTTCAACTCGTACGAATGTCATAATAGTACAAATCATTTGAACATGTGTAGTTAATAATGCTCTCGTGTTCAACTTTTCATCCAGTGAACGCAATCATTCCTGTCTTCTCGTAAATATATTTGACGAACATGCTGGAGGCAATTTCAACATTCATAGATTGCCGCATAACACAATCAAAATACGCAGTAACATTGCAATGGAATCAAACATTTCGTTACAACAAATAAATGAAAGCGAAATATGAATAAGAGTGAATGCATATATGTTACAAATATCAATAGCACTCAAATCAACTCATAAGAATGTTTCACGCATCGAATCAACGAAAATTGACTCGTCAAATGGAACTGCTGCCGAATGACACTGACGACTTGGTGACGAGTGATCGCTTATGTGATTCGAATTATCGTTGGGTGCAGCGCAGTTGAGCAGTGATACTGACTGAGATGTTGACATTGTTTTATCGACATTTTTCGCCAGTTCACTTAGTTCTTCCATGGAGAATGTTTTCGATCTGAAATGACCATATGTGTGTATTTATCTTCGTTATTACCAACCAGCTCAGTATAGGCCCTTTCTCTTACTGGTTTATATCCGGTTGCTTCAACACCTGCGCAAGCAGCACTTACGATATCAAATGACCGTATCAATCAACGATCACTAGTGACGACGACAAACGCTTCGAAAGTAATGGGTAAATGTTGACTTGTTTGATAATGCGTTAATGCGCAATTTTGGTCAAGTTCACTGCTATCCTCAAACAATACACGTGCTCTTCGGTTGTTGTTACCATCCGCAGTATCCACCGGAGAAACTAAGATATTGACACATCTGTGAAGTGGATTTTTAGGATCACGTCTAAGATTCGCTACAATGCTAGTCTTGTGACTACAATACTCAAGTTATTGCTACGCTCTAAGCAATTCTTCGTAAAAGAATCACAAGAATGTTTCAAATTGTACACTCTTAACGTATGCACCAGAATGATTCTTTTTACCTGCATCCATATGGTGGTCAAATGTGATTTGAATACGGACTCATTTTGAAAATTATACGAAAGAAAACATACCGTTTCATACTGTTGAGGTATTTGTTAGAATCATGAGAGCGTTGCTGTAGCGGTTCTGACTGAACATCATCACAGTGAGTGTCCACTGAATGAGAGTTTTGTTGATGATGATTTATTTGAATTTGCCTCTTTTCGAAATGTTGAGATCGGTTTGTATCAACTGTTTTCTTCCTCTTTTTGTTATTACTATTGTTGTTGTTGTTGTTGTTATCGTTAGCACTTCTCTTATAAGTGCTACTGATCACAGTAGAATGGGTATATTTCTTGCATATCAATGGGCGCCGTTCGCTGAACGTCATCGATGTTGCTCTCCTGTTCCTGCTACTTCGTATGTTGCTATCGGACGGTGAATCCTTGCGATACTCACTTCTGGTACTACTCGTATTCGTACTACAATGCTCCCCATTTCGAAGTATCCCTATTGCTGCTGTTCGCTCCACATTCGACCTTAATTTCTTAATTAGCAGTTCAATCAAGAAAGTTCATCGCTCAACTGCAAAGAGTTACTCAGTCTGCTGGTTTTCATTCAAAGTTCGTCTCATAATGGTAACTCTGATGCCGTTGACAGTTGCAATGAAGGTGATGAANTGCTGATGACGGGTAATGAGTAATTAGCTGTATTTTTAAAGAGTTACCATGTGTAGGTGTCGTAAGGAAGAGCGGTATTATTGCGGGAATAATTGATGCTGCCAAATTCACGTAAGGGATGTAGGCATTGACATCGAATGATGCGAAGAAACGCTTGTCGGAACCGTCTAAAATTAACTTCGAATTCGGTTGTTGTTTGAGTTCTTGAGATTTTTGACGAAATATTATTAAGCGATTTTGAACAGTTTTGAATGAGATTAGTGTAGTGGTTCACTGAATTGACATGCATCAATAACATGCACTACAGCGCCAATTAGTGAAAATATAGAAGAGTGTAAGGTGAAATTCGAAGTAACCTGTTGAATATAGTATAAATTAAGGGATTGATTGTGCTCGAAACATAACCAAGCCATAAAAATAATGAGGCTACACTCGGCGGTGCCGCACATCGATTACCGCAAAAGCCCAATGCGAAATTTGCGGCAAAAAATGGTGTCCAACAAACGAAAAAACAGCCAAATACAACAGCGAGCACCCGTGTTGCCTTAAGTAGACTTATTTACTGAAATCAGAAAAAAATTCTGTTGAAGGAGCCATTTGAGCACAAAGAATAAATTCGANTGAATGATTCGCATGTGTATCATTTAATTTAATGATGTACATTTGATTCAGTTAATGAACATCACTCTCAAATTTTAGAGAAATGGCTCAATTTGAAACATTACCACTTACATTAATGAGTTATACTCGCATTTAATTGGTTTATCAGTTGACAGTTCGATAAGACATATTGAGATTGCATGAATAAACTGCAGGAGGCAGCGAAACGTTCAGGAGTGTTTTGGTGTAATGAGTGAAAGACTAACGTCCTCGACATGCTTGGATGAAGAACAATTTGGGTTTATGTGCCAGTAAAGGACAGCTAACAGCGTTCAGCATCGAAACCATATGCTGCACTGATACAGGCTGGTCGTCAACACCGTACACTTCTCCGTGCTCACCGTGTGTTAGCACACAAACCACACAGGAATGCACCGTTGCATGATGCGGATTCTTTGAGAATATTTGTAAACGAGACATCATTTCCTATAACTTTTGCATTCTCAGTGTTTATCGTTAGCGTGTAACTGAACTGCCCATGACTGATAAATAAAATGACAATCGACACTCAGAAATGATACTTGCACCTTGATACGCTTTTCTTTGAGCTATTATCACCAAAATTTTGAGAAAAATATCTTACGACATTACAAGATATAGCTAATATTAATATATCACCGCATCGAAATCTCGCTACATTGAGTAGACCTTAATCGGATGAGTTATCCCGTCAAACTATTCGAATACATCATAAGTTTTCATTTCTCTAATAGATGAATGAATTACGAACGCGGTCACGAATTGAAAGATTATGAAGTAATCATAACTATGAATTAACTATGAATTTCTCGGATTGAATTATGATTTGTAAGTTTTCACTTCTCGAAATAATAATCTAGGCTTCAACAAGATAAAAACTGTTTAATGAATAACCTTTGAGCAAAGATTTCTATAGACGGTAACCGAATAGCCGAGTTGTTGAAGCAAACGGCTAAAATTACTCTCGTCTACATCGGTTCCGAGTCGTTCGGGCATCGTTTGAAAGTAACGATTGTTTATGATTAATGCCAATCCACGAGGTGACGTAAAATTTGGATACATCTGAATAAACACTCATTCAAATCCTCATTTCCATACGGTTCTTGCAAAATTATTAATTTCATTAACACATAAATTTTGCAGATTTCTCGCTTACTTTCCAAGAAATTAGCTATCGTTGTGTATCTTCAGTAAGAACATCTAATAAATCTTTCTGTTCTCATAAACAATAAAATAACTCCATCAATTTTCATTTCCAAGCGAATCTGCAGTGACAATGCTACATCGATAACACAATGAACAAATAATGAATGAATGTGATCGTGCAATAAAACTAACAATTTCCTCATTGAAATTGTCGAGATCAAACGATGCATTATTGTTATCGACACATTCAACACATAAATCATACAGAATACCGCTCGTTTCTTTCACTTGAAAATGGCAATTTTAAATCAATGAAAAAACAAATCAATCTCGAGATGAAATCGAAATTGACAATTTTCAAAACTTGAAACCAATCAAAATTTTGTAATAAACAGGGTCACGATGCAAAAAATTGAAACTCCTTAAAGCGGATGGCTTTCTGAAATGTTTTGAACGAATCTTATAAAATTATGAGAAGATCAAAAAAAA